TAACTCAATTCGAAATTTAACACAGTTTTGCCTTACTTAAATGTGAAGATGATGCCAACAAGCTACCCCATGTAATCAGAAAACGCAGTTTGGACGCATCTGGATGCGTTAATGTTGCAACAAACGACATTTTGACGAGTTTAAACGCGTTTGCCACTAAAACAGTAATAAAATGCGTTTGCTTTGTCGGCGTCTGAACGCGTTAAGAATCGTTGCTGACGTTCAAATGCGTCTGTTGATTTGTAAACCTCAGAGACGCGTCGTTATTAGTTATGAAACGCGTTTCAGTGGGATTAGTTTCGTTTTTGCATACAAACGCGTTTATATATCTACTAACCAACGCACTAAAGCTCCAGTAACGAGTCTAAACGCGTTTTAATTCTGTGATTTTTATACAGAGAAAACCCATTTGAATGCATTTCTAGCTGCAAGTGTTTACGGTGGCATTAATAGCTCAGATTATACTTGTCAAAATAGAAGAGACTAGATCTTAGCTATTAATAGTGAACTAAATAAAGCATTTTGCATTCGAAAACAGTTTGATAATGGTCTAATAAATTGGATAATGTATCCATAAACTCTTCCTTCATTGTGAATCTTCATAATGGCTATTCTTGGCAATATAATTTTAAACAATGCTTGATTAGTACTACACGATACATAAGATACGCACAAATAATCGCAAATCAGAAATCTCAGAACAAATGTGTACGTCTTTGAAATTTTTAAAGATTGAGTCATTCATTGAAGTGAAGATTTGGGATCATACGTACCAGATCTTGAGATGTGTAGGACATTCATTCAAGAAGACTACTAGAAAACTAAAACTATGATGTTTCTAATATTTACCAATTTTTTCATGAAATAAAATTTGTTCTTGCACAAACACATTAGTTCCTCGTACCCATGTTCTTTTTAAATACATTAGATTCAATGCTAAGGAAAAAAATTACTTTCACTTAAACAAAAAGTTCAAATTTGAAGTTCCTAGTTATACCTGCTTCGTGTAGGAATACCAAAACGTAGCAGTAAGGTAAGACTTTGGATGTTGCTTAAATACAAGGGTAGCTTCCTTCAAATAGGAATCGACACGAAACTGTATTTGAACGTGGTAGAAAACAATTTCAATCACTGAACGCCATATTTGAACTCAAAATACGCATGCACACATTGTTCCTATCATTAATTATGTTCGAATACGTCCGTATACAACAAATGTTCCATCATGGTCGTTTATGAACACATTCTTCATATGTTTGATGCTTGCGCATTTGGTAATGTCAAAGATATTCTCTTTTTCTGTCATGTTCCTGATCTAAAACTTCTTGAATTAAGAAAAAATTAAGTTCGAAAAGCAAAGTGAAATGTTTGTAATATTATAAACCAAAATAACTTTTCAAATTTTTTCTACAGTTAGCATTAATTTTTTTTGAAATTAAATTCCACGATTATTCATCACCAACTCGAAATAATTACAGATCTCGTTCGAAATACACAGAAGAATAAAACGTATGTAGTTCGAATTAAAATTTTGATTTAAAATATTTTCAGTACCTAGAATAGAAAAAAGAGCAGTACGACATGTCGTATTCAGTACACTTATAAAAAGCTATTAATTATTGAAATAACTTTTTCTTTTATTTAAACATGCGAAAAATGAAATAATTATTTTTAAAAGTTTGATCAATCGCGACCAGCATGATGTATGGAATTTTTGTTGTCACTAGTTAATGAAGATGATGAAAATTTTTTCGAATTCATTTTAATTTTCGAGTTACGCAATAGGAAGATATCTTTTATTCTCTACAAAGTGACATTAGAATTTAACGATATGAATGAACAAGTATGTATAGTTTCATGGTAAGTTCAATGTCTTCTATTGTATAGGGTACCGTAGTCGAATCTCGTCGGTCGCACTCTGTTGAATAACATAAATTTATGTTAGATCGAGGAGAAAGTATCATATGATGTTACACATGAATAGAACTATCTATACTATGGCAGAGCCACACATTTTTTTAATATTTAAAAATATTTGCAAAAACGCGTATTTTTGCGTTTCACACTGGCAACGCGGTTGAACTTCCGAAAATGTTGCATTCTGGACGCATCTAGACGCGTTTAACCCTTTGAGGCCGGGATTATTTTTATACAGCAAAAGTTTGTGTAATTAGAAATTAACGTTTACTTTGCAAGAATATCACGAGATACATGATTGAGAACGCTTTTAAAGTGTGATAGTCCTCAAAACAGTCTATAATGCACAACCCTACATCACATTAAATACATTCATACGAAGTATCTCTTCTTACCTTGGCTCTTTTTACGGTATTAGCACAAACATAGCATTTTCTCCTTGGATTTGTTTGAGTTGTTGTTGATGGAATGCGCGAAGGAAAATGTCGTGCTGTGAGTCGGAGTGGACTTTCATAAGGTGGTCGAACAATTGAACATCGCACCTGACTACCATACTTTCCAATAATTTATCGAATCAACTCAAGTTGATAAGTAGCCAAACGAAGATTGACATTGTTTCTTAGTTTATATAAAACATATGCATTATAAATTGTAAGGTCTAGCAACCGAAAAAATAATTTTTTGTACCATTTTGTCGATCGACGGGTACACTCTGAGAAGCTTATTTGCATGTCGTACTTGTCAACCAAACCTCGATTGTCACTATACTCTTTTACACAAAGAGGTTTCATCTTCTGTTCTTTCGTTAGAAAGCGTACTTTTTTGGTTGGAACCATAATTGATTCATGAAGAGTGGATAACATTGTGACTTTGCGTTTATCAATCCATTGTAATGCAAGTAAATTATCCGTGTGATAAAATACTTGCTCACCAGGTTTTTGTTTCTCTTCAAAGACTGGTAAACCAGCTCTATCATTCCTAACAGTTCCACATGCTCCGGTTTTATATTGATGAAGATATTCAAACAAAGTAGGACTCGAATAGTAATTATCTACGAACAAAGAATGACCTTTGTTCGAGAAGCGTTCTAATGAAGTTGTAACTATAGATCCAGTTACACCAAGTTGCTTTTGGTAATTGAGTTGTGTTTTAGATCCAGAATAAACTATAAAATCGATTATAAAACCTGTTGTACAGTCACAAAGTATAAACATTTTTATTCCAAATTTATGACGTTTTGATGATATGTATTATTTGAAATGTAAACGGCCCTTCCATAAAGCCAAAGTTTCATTAATGCAAAGGTTCTTATAAGGACTGAAACAGTAGAAAAAACGTTTTTTTAACTCATCGATGATTGGTTGCACTTTGTAAAGACTATCAGCAGCAACTTGATTTCGATTATTATTGAAATGAAGGTTAGAAAGTAAAGAGTTGAATCGATCTCTGGTGAAAAGTTCACTAAATATAGGTGTGGCAATAAGATGCTCTGTAGATCAATAATCACGAATACGATTTTTTTTTCATATGAGGCATCAACATGACTGTAGCTAAAAAGGTATATATTTCGTTAGTTGTTGTATCAGCCCATGGAGCTGCATGGCATCGATTTGTTTCTTTAACTATCATTTTAATTAGATTTGAGTTAAAAAGTAGTTCGAAGAAGTGAAGTGGTGTTTCAAGAGTAAGATTTCTTACGTTTGAAGATAATCCACAACCACTTGAATTAAAACTGAACAGACGAGGATACAAATTTCCTTTTTTTCAGTTTTTCAATGTAGTAGATACGTTTTCAAACGAATTTACGAATTCCTTTTCCGAATCACTATTGCGTTCATTTTCATTGTAACTTTTGTCAGATGAATTATCTTCCGACTCAGAACCAGATTCCGAATCCGTTGTATCTTCGTCAATTTCTTTGTTAGATTCCCGATAGAACATAATGTCACTTCCTGAATAATAGATATCAAAGAAATATAGAATATATCGAGATAAATGACGCTATTGTTTGAATAACAAGAAAAAAAACCAAGATATATATATATATACCAATCGCAGGGAGAAGAAAAATCTACTCGAATGAGTCCGAAGGAACGAAAGATGACAGAAAAGATAATTCATGACGTCATTGTACAATAGCAAAAAGAAAAGGAAAACTAGTATGTGTTACTCAGAAGCGGTCAACTTTTGCCCTTCGTGACCTTTTATGTAAAAAATTCACATTATATCATTTGTCAGATGCGAGCAACTGAGAAGTCTCTTTCCTATAAATGGCATTCTTGAGTAGTTTTCATAACACTAAACATTCTTAAATGATCTAGTTCTTTTTCAAGAAGTTCCGTCAACCTAATTCATATTCTAACCAATTAAATTACATGATAATTGCTAGAAATATTAAGGAAGACTTACAATCATCACTAAATATACATAACCTTAACTGTATAAATATCCTAAATGGAAATGTTCATGCAACTTATGTCATAAAATAATCAATAGATCATGTTTTTTAAAGTTATTAAAATCTCAAAATATGAGGACGCGAATTCGCGTCGCCGGGCCTCAAAGGGTTAAATATAATCTTTTTAAGGGCTGTGTTCAGTTATAGATACCATTCGACTCTATACAATTTACTATTACAGAATTGTTGAATTAAAAAATATGTTTTCTCAAAAGTAATCATATTGAACTTCTTGCAGTGATGCAAAACATAGGATTTCTTTATTCTGTTTACTTACGGCTTTGCGTCTAATTTTATCGAATGGATTTGACATTTTTACTACAGATACTTGATCGTATGTTTCAGAAATAAAATCGACTTTTTTCAGCAATCATTCAGATGAGAAGAATTCAATTATTTTTTTTTAATTATTAGATTAATGCCACGATCAACATGCACATGCGAGAAAGATCTTCAAACTTACTGTGGTCTTTCACAAAAGTGGTCTATGGAGCAGGATAAGAGTGATGTTCAAGTTGGAATGGTTTCAGGTTGCTTATATCAACAACGACAACAAGTACTTTTAAAAATCACAAAGAAATTTTTCTTTCATTTTATGTTTTATTATTTAACTTCAAAGGGAAGGTCGAAGTGAATTGAAAAGAATTATACATATTCGAACACAAGACATTGGTTTAATGCCAGAAATTGAAGATAATCGTATAACAGATTTGGCAACATGTCAAAATCTCGAAGTTGAAGGAGAATTAAGAAAGTAATTTAAATAGAATCTTCCGTGGAAAATTATTAAAATCGTTAAATTTTCTTCTTTTATTGAATGTCAAATCAATACAAAGTTTACAGAAGTGAGAATAAAGGCTCAGAGAATACTCCACTAGCGTTTAAGGTGGTCAACAGAGCTTGTAAAAGAATTATGCATGTTAAAATTATTGCATAACTTTGTATCTGAAGTATCTAGTGAATTTTTAAATAATAGACAATGTGTTGAAGTCAAACACGATATAAACTTGTTTACAATTTTGAATAAAATTAGCAAATGAAACCAAACTTAATACATTCTATCTCTCTTTTATTGCTTTTAGTAGCATAGACGTCTTTGACATTAACTTTTGAATTGTAAGTTGTGCATTAAAGGCGCGGGGGACATTATTACATCTCCCCCTACTTTTGAAATTTAACTATGCAAGATCTCTATTTTAGACACTTTACTAAATGGAAAACTTTGCG